AAGCTTTGTAACAGCAATTGAGTGCTTCAGTTCCTGTCTAAGGAGTAGATCTGGAAGGATAAACATTAAGGTCATGGAATTTTATGTTAATCTTTCATAATGTGTGCTGTTATAAAAATATAGCAATAACACTTTTTTTTTCCACTATTTAAACTGAATTTTAGTTTTCAAGTGCTGCAATTATCAAGTATTTTTCTTATCTCTTCTTTTCAGGCTTTGTTTAGAATTCATGTAAATAAATTGGCATTTTGGTGTATTCACTTAGTTGCAAATTGTGACATAAAATGATAATTAATATTGTACTATACTGTTACAAAATGTCCAGGCGTGGTAAGACAGCTTTTCCCCAAAGCAGGTTCAGGGTTGCCATAAAATGGCAGGGGAAGGCAGGGTTGCCACATTTGGCAAGAAATCACCCATTTGGCAACAAAATTGGCGATATACCATAGACGGATGGAGAGCCTTCTGGAACAAATTTTTTCGGCCAGAATGTTCTCGAACACAAGCCGAAAGCTATGTAAACCCTGCTGGTACGTGGAGAGTCAATCAGTTAGTGAGAGTCCATCGAGTTGATAGACAATCAGTGAGTGCCAAGTTGGCCGTCGAGTGCAATGAAAGGGTCTCTTTGTGTAACACAGTTAGTGCATCATCGAAAGAGTGTGTTGAGCTCTGGGAACAACTGAACCGAGGAGTCGAGAGCTGTAGTGTATTGTCGAGTGCATCGCAAGTTGTAGTGTGGAGAGTCTTGAGAGTACGGGGAGTTCCAAGAACGACCGAGCAGAGTCAGGAGCTATACTCTGGTGCTTTGCAGTGAAACTGTCTTCATTGTTATAGCCTGATAACCAGAAGGCTGTGTCGCTGATTATTCCAGGATGTTTGTAGTAGATCTTTGACAACTGTAAACGTGATTTTGGAGCTGTCTTGGATAATACTGGCCAATAAAGTGCGCTTCGATACTTCATTGAGTGTTGTCATCGTTATTCACTCCAAATCCGCATGAACCCGTACTTACGAACATGAAAAGAAAAAAAAAATATTATGTAACAATACTTTTCATTTCATATGAATGTATGGGTTTGGGAGGGAGTGGAGAGGAGAGAGATGCTTTAATTTTAAACAGTGGCTCACAGTATTGTATATTCAAATGATGATGAAACAAGATTTACTTAGAAATCCGTCAAATGAAGCTGCTATGTTGTTGTTGCTAGAAATGATTTAAGACTTGAATGAAAGACATGTGCTTAATAATTACACTGATGACTGAAATAATCTTATTTGATTAGGAGTTATTTAGTGTTAATAATGAAAATAATTTCTACTTTTATAAAAACATTGCAACAACTTTAAAAAAGAGTATTCTAAATTGTTTAGGACCTCATCCCACTGGCATAAGCATTTGGGAGGAAAAAAATGAATTCACTTAAATAATTGATCATTTCATGAAATAGTTAAATGCAATTAATCCTCTGAGCAGCACGGGTTTTTGGATCTGTCATGAAGACCTGTATTCAAAGACACTTTATTAGCTAAATTTTGTATATTTACTTACTTTAGACTCTATTTTCATAAACTTACATTTATTTAAGATGATATTTATATTATTAAAAAAAGTAAGAAAGCAAAATATCATAAATTATAAGATAATGTATAACAAATGACAAAAAATCTCATGACTGGATAAAGCCGGCCATAATGCTCAGAGGGTTAACAAATACGTAGGTTATTTATATCTGAGTTACTGCGCAATGCATTTTTATGTGGACATGGTTTTTTGTTCTTTTGTTATAAATAATTAGCTTATACTGTATATTATTATTAGATATTGTATATTCCTCACATTGTGGAAAAACAACAGTGCCTATAGCCATCAAATTTTGAATACATATTACCTGAAAATGTGTTGCTTTGAGCTGAAGTAAAATACTTTTAACTTCCATATGCCAGTATGTTTCCATTCAGTAAAGCATAAGATGTTTAACTTTTAAGTTGAGTTACAAACTAAGTTATTTAAAAACAATAAACCTAGTTCTTTAGAAAAAATTTTCTACTTTTCAATTTGATTGATTTAAATAAAAGTGCATTTAAATCATGAATTGTCTAATAAATTTCACTAGTCTTTAAAATCAGTAATTTTTTTCCTTTTTTTTATGATAAATGTTTTATGCGGCTGGCCGTGCAAGTGGCTTTTATTTTATATAGAGAGATGATAGATGACTAAAAGTTAAGTCTATTAAATTTTTAAATAAAGAAATAAAAATGTCTGACATTAAGAAAAAAAACATCATTGGCTATATTTTTGGAGTGTATGGTATCTTTACAGTATAGGGGCACATAAAACATTGTTGAGTGAAAATCTTTTTGAAAAGTAGAGGAAAGTAATTAAGACACAATAACACGCCGAACAAACACCAATTCAGAAGTCAAACAACAAAAATCAGCGTTAATTTACAAAATTTTCACAGGACAAGTTTCGATGGTTTTACCGAACCATCATCTTCAGCTGCAAAACCGCAAAAAGATTTGATTTTGCGGTTTTGCAGCTGAAGATGATGGTTCGGTAAAACCATCGAAACTTGTCCTGTGAAAATTTTGTAAATTAACGCTGATTTTTGTTGTTTGACTTCTGAATTAGAGGAAAGTAGTTACAGAGCCTTGATCCATAACCCTGGGGCATTCTTATTGAAAACTGAGATGGAACTGGACAAATTCATTCTGTCACATATAAGATGCCTTAGCCAATGAGAGACACAACCCATGCATCTTGGCCACAGTAAAATCTGTGTATTTGATCTAATGTTACTGTCAGATATAATGAAAAGTCACAATAACAACAGAAGCAATTAATTTAAAATTATGTTGTGTAGTGAAGAGCTCTGTAAAGGGTTTATAAAAACATATTGCACATAAGACAAAATTGAATAACATCATGGAAAATCAAAGAACACGAACTTGTATCACAAAATGAAATTATAAATAAAATTTGTGATATTAATCATCCCCAACTGCTTGATCATTCTTACAAATCTTTTTTTTTTCCCCCTTAATAAAATTATTTTACTTTTTTCTTTTCTTTTTTGTATTCCTATTTTTGAAATGGATTCCTTTTAAGACATTTATCATATTCTATCATATCATATTTATCTAAAAACCTGTGCTTTGAAACAAATTTTAAACTTTATGTTTATCTTGATTAATTTTATTTTGGTTATAATAGATAGCTTTGTTTTAAAGTTTTATTTTACATAAGTTACATATATTTTACATAAGTTACACATGTCTTAAGCAAAGTTTGGGAATTTTTCGTACTTAAGATTTGTTTACATACAACTTGTTTTTTAACATGTTATCTTTTATCATATTATTTATTCTGTTAATATACTAAACATCGGGCTAATTTCAAAAGCTCCATTAGTTAATGAATTTTACATTTCTGCTAATGTTTTATATGAAACTAAAATTTCTTTTGTATCTTTATCATAAGTCCAGAGAGGCTTTGTCCCTGAAGGATTATTGTTTTCGTTTTGCGAGTTTGCATTGAAAACTTTAAGAGGCTGTATCACTTTTCAAATCCTTGCTACCAAATACTATCGCCCTGTATTATATTTTAAGAAATTAAATAATGAAGAATCTGCATAAATGTTTCTCGTATAAAAAGAATCTGCATGTTGTTTCTCGCATTGTGAATAAAACAATGGTACCTAGAGCCATCCAATTTTGAATGACGTAATCCTACTGCGAATATGGGCATCTGAAAGCCCAAATTTGAAATTTGTTTTATTATCAATTTTATATTTTGTAAAACTTTAACAAATTTTTAATTAACAAACTCTATGATTTAAAAGCGAGCAATGGCAACACTCTACGGGGTAGGGGGAAACGTTTTTATCTCCAGTGCATGGAACTATGTATTGAATATTCTAAAGATATGCTTATTTTAAAATTATTTTGCGACATTGCTTTTGAACTGAATTTTATAATTTAAGTGCAAAGAACATGGTATTTAATAAATAAAGGTAACACACAAAATAATAAGAAAACGCTCCTTTTGATGTAATTTAAATATGAAAACTTTCAGATTTTTAAAAACAATTTTCTAAAGTTTTATTTCTTTTCATATTTGTCTATAATTATATCATACGCACATGTAATAAAAAATAAATAGATGCTGCTTTCATAAGTAGCATATACCCTAGTCGTCTGCTGAATTTTGCAGTAACTTTTTATAATACATGTACTCTGTAGCAGTGGTCTGCATACAACTGGTGGTCTGTGAGAATTTTTTTAGGGTCTGCAGAAAAATTGGGACATTATTTATGTTTTTATGAAGATTCAGTTTAAAAAAATGAGGAGTAACAAAACCTATTTTGGAATATGTATTATACTTTTTTTTTTTTTTTTTTTTTTTTTAGCTACTACTTTTAGCGAATTCCTTCTGAATTTAGCTACTTTTGCAGGTGTATCTAGCGACATTTGAAAGTGAGAGTTGGTATCCATAGATATGTTGCTGTTATCAATAATAGCGAGGACTTTAATTCTCTTTCCTTTTGAATTACAAACTTATGCTATTGTGGTCGTTAATAATACAGCTTTTCTCCGTGCCAATAGGCAACTTGATGGATTTTTATGAGAACCATCTGCATTCTTATTTATAATTGCATCACTGGAAGTTTCGGTTTTCGTTTTGTCTAACTGTTGATCGATGGTGCCATTGCTGAGTAAGCGGTGATTATTATGTTTAAGATTATTAAAAATTGGCAGCATAACACTTTCAGTTTATTGATATTACTTTGCTTTTGCCGGTTTGTTCTTTTAAATTCATATTAGTGGTCCGCCAAATATAAAATTTTATATGTAGTGGTCCATGAAGTTCTAAAGGTTGACGATCACTGCTCTTAAGCAGTTGAGGATCACTGCTCTTAAGCATTTCATTCATCAGTTTGAAATTAACATTTTGAGTAACTTTTTTTTTTTTTTTTTTTTTTTTTTTTTTTTTTTTTTAGGTATGCTATAATTTGGAATAAAGGTTATCAGGAATTTAGCACAATTGAAAGTTCTGTTACAACAAAAGTAAAAGGAGTAGTACTTACCAATTTCTCTCAAAGGGAATTCAATCCACAAATACAGAATATTGATGTATATCGCAGAATATGGGATACAGCTGACTATGTTGTTCCACCATCAGTAAGTTATGCTTTATTTAGTTCTTACAGTTTATTAATTCAGGAAATTGTGCATGTAATGTATGTTTATAAAAACTGAATATAGCATTGATTTTTAAATTCAAGGAGAAAATTAAACATTCATCTTTCGTAAGAGGCATGCTTGGTTGATCTTTACATTATGGTAACTTGGCGAAAATTTGGCGACCAACTCTCTTACAGCAACCCTCTATTTTTTTTTCCCGCCGCCATTTTGTCTTCACGAAGTAAAGACATGTTTCTTTTCTTTTTACCTACTGAACACTTCTTCCAACAATCTACTAGCCGAATTACACTTATCCTAGAAATTTTATCTAACAAAACTGCTTAATCATGACAGATATTCACTGCAAAATTGGGAAAAAGTGCACAATACCATACTCCTTACGCGTTTTTTTTTCAAAATAACACATACACATAAACCATGTACACGCCGACTTATTTTTACTTAAAAAAAACATCCCAGAATTGCACAAAAATGGCATTGCGCACACTCTTCACTATATCCATGTACACTGCTTTTTTCTCATAAATTAGAAAAATTTCACGAAAATACATGACAATTTTCTCAATCTTTAAACCCGGTAAAAAGAACACATATGAAATTACCTGATCGCGAAAAAGTATTTACCCTTTCCAAATATGAAACATTTCCACATATAAAATAATAAAATATCCAAAAACTTTTACCTCTAAATCATCTATTACATTATACAACGTCACCAACGAATTCATACCGCAAGCATTACAAATACTTAGTATCAAATATTTAAATTATTTCCATGCACGTTTACTTACTTCAACTTAAACGTGTACCAAATTCCTACAAACATAAAATTCACAAAATAACTATCATTTAATTAAAATATCACTAAACCATGTACACGTCGACTTATTTTTACTTAAAAAAAAATCCCAGAATTGCACAAAAATGGCATTGCGCACACTCTTCACTATATCCATGTACACTGCTTTTTTCTCATAAATTAGAAAAATTTCACGAAAATACATGACAATTTTCTCAATCTTTAAACCCGGTAAAAAGAACATATATGAAATTTCCTTATTGCGAAAAAGTATTTACCCTTTCCAAATATGAACATTTCTACATATAAAATAAATAAAATATCCAAAAACTTTTACCTCTAAATCATCTATTACATTATACACGTCACCAACGAATTCATACCTCAAGCATTACAAATACTTAGTATCAAATATTTAAATTATTTCCATGCACGTTTACTTCAACTGAAACATATACCAAATTCCTACAAACATAAAATTCACAAAATAACTATCATTTAATTAAAATATCACTAAACCATGTACACGCCGACTTATTTTTACTTAAAAAAACATCCCAGAATTGCACAAAAATGGCATTGCGCACACTCTTCACTATATCCATGTACACTGCTTTTTGCTCATAAATTAGAAAAATTTCACGAAAATACATGACAATTTTCTCAATCTTTAAACCCGGTAAAAGGAACATATATGTCAGATATTTATATTATTTCCATGTACGTTTACTTCAACTAAAACGTATACCAAATTCCTACAAACATAAAATTCACAAAATAACTATCATTTAATTAAAAATATAATTAAATTCAAAAACACTACTTAAAATATAAATGAGCACATACATTAAATTAATACATACATAAATACCCATTTCGAATTCACTTTAATTACGGCCATGGGATCCAAAAATTCACGAACACTGTTTCACACAACACAGAATAAAGCCAAATACAAAATTTCCAGATTTTTCCCGATTTCCCCCCTTTTCCGATTAAAGAACCGTAATTCGTCCATTAATATCACATGACATATCCCATGATCTCTCATTTCCCTCACACAAAATAATGCGTAATCGGAACTGAGTACTGCTCACATTATTACCAAAGTGCCAGGTAGTAACCTTTATCGCCTCCAAAATGTCGCCAAACTACCAGTTACCATATTGTAAAGATCAACCTTATGCTTTTATTTAATTTATCTTTTCATATGCATTATTTTGAATTATCTGTACATTTTGTGATTTTTGAATCTGCAGTTTAATTTCTTACTAATTGAATTGATTATTTATTCCTAATTTTGTTATATTTTCCGCATGCTTAAAAAAAACTTACTTGACTGTTGTAACCAGGGCCAGATTTAGACTCGATAAGGCCCTAAGCTATTTGAGATTATGGGGGACTTTATAAGTCTCTTGTACTATATTTTAATACTACATTTATACTAATTTTTTGGGGGAGAGGATGTCAGAAAATGTGGGAAGCTCTAAGTCCTAAGCTTATGTAGCTTATACGTAAATCCTGCACTGGTTGTAACTAACCTGTAACCTCTTCACTCCCAGCATTTCATATAGTACAAAGTCCAAGATCCGGACGCCCGATATCTGGAATGATCTAAAATTTGTACCTCAAAGGCCACTACCAACTATTTTTTAAAAATTTTATTATATTTTTTTGTAAGCTAATGCAAGCACATTTGATTCCCTTCCCCAGAATAAAATGACCATTACCCAAAACAAAGCCGAAAACAATCATCAGTATACAAAAAAAAGTATTTATTTTTATGATTATACAAGAATTATATTAATTGCATTATTCGATTCTTCCAAAATATGCAAATGTCCTTGAGAATTTCCTTAAATTTATCCTTTACTCCTCTTCTGCACATAAATTCGGTGAGGTACGAATGCATGTGCTGACAGGGAGTGGCCCAGTGTTTTTTATTTCTTTATTTGGCATTGTCCCAAACTCATTAGATTTTTTGCGTACTTACATCAGTGTTGAGGTCGACAAAATTATACCTGTGGTTGACTTAGAAATGCTGTAGACCTGCTTCTTCGATTTTAGTGGTGCAGTAACCCTTCCAGGAATTGGAATAAACAGTAGATCTTTCTTCGATATGGTCTTTTATCATGTCTAAGAGTACTGGTAGAAAACAGTTTGGAACCTTAACTAAGAAGCATTCATCGGTTTGGTGGGAAATACCACCCAATATCCATTATTCCAGAAGAATTCTACCAGCTTGGGTTTTTTGTTTGGTAAACAAGCTTTCATGATTTCAACGATAATTTCAGGACCACTGATTTGTTTTTGCTCATGTTCCACTAATATTTCTACCCAAACTTCTCTCAGATAGTTGTTCCAATCTACAGTTGCTGAGTGATTTGTCCTCAGTTGTTTTTCACACCATTTGATGTCACTTCTTTGTTCCGAGTGTAAATAAATCTTAAATATGTTAGAAAACTTAATCTGGACTTTTCGAACTATGTGTTTTTACGAATACTCTTCTTGCTGCAACAGGTAGAAACATTGCAATGCCATCTAACTCCATCAGAAAAATAAAGTTTCATTTCACAATTTTGATTACATGTTGAATTTGTTGCCATGAAGTACCAAATTTTCAGCATTTTTGAATACCAAATTTAGGTAATATTAAAAATACATGTTACCTGTTTTAAATGACTTCTGGAAATGACAGCGAAGGATTCCTGTCAGGCTTATATGCAAGTTGGTACAGGTTTGAATTATTTGATAACTTTCTGTCCTCTTGTGCCCGACTAACCAAAAGTATAAATTTTTGCATAACATTTTGATGCAAATAACTTGCCTCTAGCCAACAATAATTTTAGAGAGTTATTTATTAATTAGTCAAATGATATCGAAATTGAAACTAACTCATTCTGATTAAGGTTTGGTTTCAAAGACATCACACTTGCTTCTGCTTCTCTTGCTAATTAACCATCTCAGCATTGCAGATGGGAATTTCCATATAGAAGGGTGGCTTTCATAATCTTTACAAATGAACATGAAAATTTCTGCCGGGTTTTAATGTATCCGATTTCAGGTTGGATATATATTTGAAGAAAAGAAATAAAAGTGAAGAACCATTTTTAAATTAGAATCAAGAAAATACTATTTATTTATGACATTTTGAAGAACTTTGAAATTTCAGGGCTAAACCATAAGGTTCAGAAGGTTAAATGTGCTTGTTTTGTAGAGGTTCTGGCTTCAGAGTCAAATCTATGTATGTGTTTCCTTGACAGGAAAGTCAGGAAGTAAGAGTATATGTGGCAAGATGTAGCTGCCAGTAAATGTTAAACAATTAGATTGTGAATAAAGGATCCCTTTCACTTTCTGTATCTGTTGCAGAGCAAGACTTCTGACAAAGAATTATCGGAATGCTTAGGAAAGGGAGCTTAATATTATTTCATTGTAGGAGGTAACAGGTGCTGAAGCTTTGTAAAAAAAAATGTTTTGACTTGGAGCATGGTGGCATTACTTGTTTAAATGGTTCTTGGACTGTAAACAACACTTTATGAAAGGTTAGACAAACTTGTATTGCACTTGAGAGATAATTTATCAGGGTGTTATAATGGTCAGTGAGCGATCTCCTCTGGTGAACGAGATGAGGGAAAAAAATCCCCTACTCACCTACTTTTGATGCAATAGGGTTATTGTGTTTCTGTTTATGAAGTATTATAAGGAATCTGTTTTGCACTGATACTTAGATAACGATTTAGAATATTTGTTTCTGACTTGGCGGGTCTTTCTGTCTATGATGTGTAATAGACTGTTTTGAACTAATATTTAACATGATGAAGAGGATATCTTCCCTCTACAAACAATAACAAAGACTGTTAATGATTGTGCTAAGGATAGATTACAGTAATTGATTTGCAGGCTGACCCTCCATGTTATCCTTCAGCATTGCACAAGCTTGTTTTAGATTCTGGATTCCTGAAGTCTGCTCATGTAAATATTCTTCAACTCCTCTTAGTTTGTAGACTTAATTATATTTATTTTACAAATGTCAAACATTAGCACCTAAGCGGCAGTTTTAGCATTCATAGGCTTTACAGCACTTTTTTAACAATTCCTCATACTGTGAAAGCGCAATCCAGTTATTTAAATGTTAAAAATCATAGCCTGATTAGAGTCACGCAAAACACAGTTTGGGGAATCCACCACTCTAATTCTGTAGATGTGGTCTTGCAAACAGTCATGCATAGTCAGATGTCTAAATAGAGCCACCACTGTCTTTTTCTAAACTGGGAATGGTTTTCTCTTATCCATAGCAAGTTAAATCATATCCTGTTTAAGAATTTGTGGTACAATTCGGTTTCGTGGGCCGAATCTGTTTGCACTGATACTTAGATAATACTTACTTACTCTTGATACTTAGATCAATCTGTTTTGCACTGATACTTAGATAACGATTTAGAATATTTGTTTCTGACTTGGCGGGTCTTTCTGTCTATGATGTGTAATAGACTGTTTTGAACTAATATTTAACATGATGAAGAGGATATCTTCCCTCTACAAACAATAACAAAGACTGTTAATGATTGTGCTAAGGATAGATTACAGTAATTGATTTGCAGGCTGACCCTCCATGTTATCCTTCAGCATTGCACAAGCTTGTTTTAGATTCTGGATTCCTGAAGTCTACTCATGTAAATATTCTTCAACTCCTCTTAGTTTGTAGACTTAATTATATTTATTTTACAAATGTCAAACATTAGCACCTAAGCAGCAGTTTTAGCATTCATAGGCTTTACAGCACTTTTTTAACAATTCCTCATACTGTGAAAGCGCAATCCAGTTATTTAAATGTTAAAAATCATAGCCTGATTAGAGTCACGCAAAACACAGTTTGGGGAATCCAGCACTCTAATTCTGTAGATGTGGTCTTGCAAACAGTCATGCATAGTCAGATGTCTAAATAGAGCCACCACTGTCTTTTTCTAAACTGGGAATGGTTTTCTCTTATCCATAGCAAGTTAAATCATATCCTGTTTAAGAATTTGTGGTACAATTCGGTTTCGTGGGCCGAATCTGTTTGCACTGATACTTAGATAATACTTACTTACTCTTGATACTTAGATCAATCTGTTTTGCACTGATACTTAGATAACGATTTAGAATATTTGTTTCTGACTTGGCGGGTCTTTCTGTCTATGATGTGTAATAGACTGTTTTGAACTAATATTTAACATGATGAAGAGGATATCTTCCCTCTACAAACAATAACAAAGACTGTTAATGATTGTGCTAAGGATAGATTACAGTAATTGATTTGCAGGCTGACCCTCCATGGGCCGTAAAAAATTGCAGCGAAAATGCATGCGCAAAAGTGCCAAATCTAGCAAACTCGCCCATTAAACAGCACAGCAAATCTCACAAGCTTGCTGATTTCAAATTGCGTAAGTTTTAGATAGTTCTGTATTTGTAAGTCGCCATTGAAATACTAGTTTAATTTTTTTAATTCTCTTTTTGATAAAGCTATGGATTTGACAATTTGGGAATTACCGAGTGAAGAAAAGTGCAGTAGAATTTTTTCAAAAAAAAAAAGGCGTCATTCATGATAGAAAATTATGTTTGAACAATCGAGATGAAATTATGCTTTATCGATAACTCGGTAGCAAAATGGTGGTTCAGGAAAGAAACCTGTAATGAGAAGAAAGGATTGAGAACTCAAAATTGGTTTGAAGGATCGAAAATCCCCTTCCTTACAGCCGTTAGGTTCATCTATTTTTGGTGTCAGGAAATGACATCTGTTGAATGTTGTGAACTCCAGCTCAAGATGAACCACAGTACAGTTGTAGACTGGAACAGTTACATGCATGAGGTGTGTGCCTCAGATTTAATTGCTCGGCCTAAGTCTAAAATTGGCGGATGTGGCAAAATTATTGAAGTAGACGAAAACCTTTTCAGTAAAAGGAAGAACAATGTTGGACATGTTCTTCTACCACAGTGGGTTTTCGGCGGATTATGCAGAGAATCAAATGAATGTTTTTTTGGTCACTGTTCCAGATCGATCGGCGAAAACCTTATTGAACATCATAAAGGATTATATCGCAGAAGGAAGCGTTATTTATACTGACTGCTGGAAATCATACAAGTCAGATGAACTGCAAGATGCCGGTTTTGAATACTTTACTGTCAACCACAACTACAATTTTGTGGACTCGGAAAGTGGGTGTCATACACAAACAGTAGAATGGCTGTGGGGCAGTGCTAAAGGGCATAATAAATGCCATCGGGGCACTGCTCGACAGCATTTTGATTTGTTGTACATACGTTTGCCCAAAAAACTTGAAATTTCTTCTATATTGGAAGACCTAAAAAATTTTATGCCACCCGTTTAATTGCAAGTATATTTAGCCTTTTTTTCATAAAGTAATACAAAATTGTATTATATGAAATTAACATCTCATCTAAATTAAAATAAAAATCTGAAATAGGTATTTACTATTATGTTTCCATTCAGTTATTTTAACCTTTTTTTTATATAAATAATAATAATAATAATAAATTGTATGATGTAAAATTAACCTTTTATCTAAATTAAAATAATAATCTGAAACACTTATTTACTCTTATGCTTCCATTCAGTTATGTCAGGGGCGTAGCTAGAGGGGGCAAGTGGGGGCATCTGTCCCCGTTCGCTGAATCCAAGGGGCGCCAAACTGATGTTACGACATTTTAGAATTAAATGTTTTCCATCTTTGTCAAGCAGTAGGGGGCACGAAATCTTCAGTTGTGCCTGGGCGCTGAAAACTCTAACTATGACTGAGTTATGTTTACCCTTTTTTATATAAATTATAATAATAAAAAAGTACTATATGAAAGTAACTTTTCATCTAAATTAAAACATCAATCTTAAATAGTTATTTACTATTATATTTCCTTTCTTGCGTTAAGGTTGCCGCAATTATTAAGAGTCCAGTTAACGAACAATTTAGTCAATTAATGTATTGCTTTATCGAAGTTCCTTTCTTAGCCAATGTATCAGCTTTTTCATTGCCCATAATTCTACAGTGGGCTGGAATCTTTTGGAAAGAAATTCTGTGTGCCAGTGTCTTAAGACATCAGTAGTAAAAAGGCTTGTTAATAAGTAGAACCTAAAAAGCTCGCTATGGATACCTGCTCCAGCACTGTGCACTCTTTCTAACATAGAGCTGCTTGTGTAGACACACATCCACTCATTTTGAGGATAGCAAACTTCAGTAGTCTTCATTGCAGTAGATCATATTTTTTCTTTTTTCGTAATGTATCAATTGCCAAATCATGGTTAGGTCTATGAATTTATATATGTTAAGGGAAAATTATATGCATCCTTAGAACTATTGATTTTTTTTTAATAGCAGAAAAACAGAAATACTTCTTTAAATTTTGTTATTTCAATTAGATCCTGTTTTCAAAATGTATACCATATTTTCTCTCTTTAAAAGCTTTAATGAGTACATTTTTGTGACTTACAGAATCATTTTTAGATATTCTGTGCAAACCCATGCATTAATTTCACAGGAATAATTAGGACTTCAGTGTAAAAGTATTATAACTGATAAATTATTGAAATTTTAGTTTTAATGTTGCTTTTCAACATCCTCCTTATGAAGATATTATTTTAATGCACTTTGATGATGATAAGTAGAATTTTCAAAAGTCTCATTGAAGCAACTTATTCTTCAGTATTGCCAATTTTAGCATAGTACTTTCTTATTAGCAACAGCATCTCAGGAAGGCTTTAATATGAAATTGCAAAAAATTGTTAAATGAAATTATGAGTTGAAAAGAAAAGTTGTCAAATGCAGGTTTGAAGATTTTCAGTGTTAAATAATGTTTACCAAACAAACCATTTTGCAGAACATTTTGATAACTTTCTGACATGATTTTGCTAATGGGAAAAATACCTTTTATTCTTTTTATTTAATATAACCAGATTCAACATTCTGTTATGTGCTTTGGAGTAGTTATCTTTGCATTTATCAGTGTGATTTAACAGCTTGTTTTATTTTAGGAAAATAATGCATTTTTTGTCATAACAAACATAGTGATCACCTCAAATCAGACCCAGGGCAAATGTCCAGAGGTAAATTTTATTTAGTTTTCAAATCATATACCTTCCCATCCTTTTTAGTTTAACAGTGTCTATTAATGTGTTTAATTCTAATAATTTTGCTGCAATTAGTGATTGATTATCAAATGCTTGCATTTACTATAGAGCTACCTTTTACTTTATCAATATTTGTTTTTCATCATTTTTTTTATACTAGGCCTGCATTAGTTCTGCAGTAGTGCCTCTTTTCCAGTGGCGTAGCGAGCATAACTGGCGCCCGGGGCAAAATACCTTTTGGGCGCCCCCCCCCTCCCGAAAAAACACAGTAATATGATGAAAATCTTGTTTGGAGATCATTTGGCACCCCTTCTGCGAGCGGCGCCCGGGGCATCATACACCCCCTTGCCCCCCTCGCTACGCCACTGCTCTTTTCATTAATGAAAGAAATTTGGTAAAAACTCTAGGTTAAGATTCGTAAAGTGAAAGTATGATTAAATATTAGTTTTGTTTTGTAATTGCATAAATCAGTGATTTTAGTTATGAAAGAATATGCTAGTTTAGAGAAGTTTGGGCCTGCTGATTAAAACCGGTTTGGCAAAAATTAGTTTCTGGCCTAAAAGTGGTAGAAATTTATAAAATAACGAAAAGCAGATCAAAGGACTGTAAGTAGTGCAAGGGAGTGTATTTTAAAATAAAGCAGAATTTTAATGATATATATTCAAAAAAGTTTTTATTATATTTTATTCAAAGTTTACATAACAGTAATTACAAGTTACGTATCACTATTCAGGTTTAGCTTGACTTTTTCCATGAAGTAGTATATAAGAAAAGACAGTTACTGTTTCACAACAAAAAGAATTTCTCACTTTATTGTGAATAAGTAAAACGCCGTAGAACATTCCATCAAACCTAGCAGCAATTTCTGACAATAATACCACTGTGCAAACAAAAATTAGAAAATCTCCATTTGTAGTTGTTTTTCTTTAAACTAGATTATTATATAAAAATTGAAACATTTAGTAAGATTCAATGGAGAAATATACAGAGAGAAAAGAAGTTGATTTTGCTTGAAATGATTCTGTATCAGGCATAAAATGTGTGTTTATGTCATGAAATAGTACCCTAATATTTTTTGTTGCTCACTTGGCAATTTAGATGCCATATACTTTGAATGAAGCTTATAAGCTAGCATATGATACTGAATAATCGCCTGATTGAGTCTGTAGAATTTTATGCTTATTAACCCATTATCCAATTATTTTTATCTTTGTTACTTCTTTTGATGGTGGAGATATGAAAAATGAGCAATGCCCTCGCTGGGACTTGAACTTGGACCTCTTGAATTCGCACCGAGTTTGCTACCGTTACATCACTAAGGCATGCTGGAAGGAGGGAGAAAATACTTTATATATTTCCCATGTTAAAGGGCAACTAGGAATTTGGGAACTGAATCACTAAATCCTGGTGGTTACGAATTATTGCCTACCACCTTTTAGTTTGGGTGCTACTATAGAGACATTAGATTGAAACTGCTGTTAATAGTACATCGGGGGGGGTGTAATGGATGGCTGCTTTAGAAATAGAAATAAAGCAAATCATCAAGTGTTGTATTTACCAATATTTATGAAAAATGGTGTAAATGACAGATAAGTAAAACAGATTGACATAAATAGAAGACTGCATATTCCAGAAAATGGTTTGGCTATTTGAATATATCAAAGCACAGAAGAAGTTAGCTGTCTAAAGTGAGGGTTGTCTTCATAGAGGGCTTTCTAAGGGAAACTCGTTTGTATTCCCATTATACACTGAGATAACCACAAAAACAACTATACATCCACCCCATTAATCTGAGATGACTTACCAGTATTCAGCAGTCTTTAACCACTTAGTTACTAGTGCGGCTGAAGTCATATGAAATTAAAACAATGAATTAAAAATATATTTTTATTGATATTGTGTTAAAATAATGTACATAATTTTCACTCAATTTCTACATTTTTCTTATGTAAAAATTCTGATATATGCTAAATGATCTTAAATTGCAGGAAAATGGCTGTTAGAATAGTATAGATGTAAATATATAGTGTTATATAATGTGGACTTGCGAAATGCTAATTTGAGTTAATGCATTTTCTTAATTGTCTTTATTTAATTTGTCTTGTGCGAGAAGTTCATTTAAGCATGGTACATTGCAGAGCATTCAGCATATGGCACTACTGACTCATTAGTTTGCTCAAAAGCAATTCTTTCTTTTGTGTTTTCATTTTGGCCATTTCTATAAGTGAGCTCAGTCATAGAAAAAAGCATAATCTTATTTGTCTGCTGACCTTCTCCTTTACAAGAGAACATCCATGTACACAAATGGCAATATTGCTTGGCTTTGCCTGCTAGGTGAATGATCCAGGCTGAGTTGCTATCATTGCACTCTCATTATCAGAGCTGTTAATCATATATTTATACATGTTTATCTTCTTCTTCTTTTGCCTTTCCATGTCTTTTAATTTAAAAGTTCAATATGACATCTAAAAGGAGGAATAAAGTAGCAAAAAAAGTGCAAAGTTTTAATTTATCTCAGAAAATTAAAATTTTAGATAACCTGAAGAATAGTACATGTATTTTATTGTCTGCAAAGGAAAGAATCAAGAACAATATGGGAGAATGAAGAAAATACTCGGTCTATTGTCAAAGCTTCAGGTGATACTTCGGCAAAGGTTGCTCAAGTTTCAAGAATTCCCCAATTGGAAAAGATGGAAAAATTGTTAATAGCTTGATTGGAAATCAACTAAATGAAAACGGTTCAGTTGTGGATGGTGCTGCTATTTAGAACCTTTAAATTGGTTTTAAATAAAGACAATGATTCTTCAAAGAAAATTAATTGACTTTCAGGCAAGTGAAGGTTGGCTTGAAAACTTTAAGCTTCATTTCAGTTTGCACAACGTAAAGCTTCAGGGAGAAGCTAGGTGTGCAAATAAAGAAGCAACAAATAAATTCAGACCCCAATTTTTGAAATTAATTGAAGCTAATTTTTACATTCAATTACAAGTTTCCATTGTGGATGAGACAACCTTATTTTATAAGTGCATGGAGCTACGGACCTTCATCACAAAGGCACAAAAGTTTGCACCAATTTTTAAAACTTTTAAACTCACTTTGCTTGTTTGTGGCAATGCAGCAGATGACTTCAAGTGCAAGCTTCCACTCATTTATCGATCTAAAAGGCCTCTTGTATTGTAGGAAAAAAATTCTGAGCCATTGTCAGTTATGTAGAAATGTAAAGAGCTTAAGTAACAGAAGCCCTCTTTAATGACTGGTTTGAAAGTTCAAGCATTAAAGAAGTCAAATATTACTTCGAACAGCAAATCCTGAACTTTAAAGTTCTTCTAATTGTCGATAATGCTCTAGAACACAGGGCTGAAGCCGTCATAACATTGCATCCAAATGTAGGAGTTTTATTCCTTCCACTCTACACCACTTCTGCAATCCAACCTATGGATTAAAAAAATATAAAAACATTAAAAGTTTATTATTTCAAGCATGTTTACATCTCTGTAAATAAAATACCAGAAAAAGAAAAACACAACACACTTATGACATTTTGGAAGAAATTCAGCATAAGGCACTACATAGAAATGATTAAACTTGCATGGGAACAAGTAAATTCATCAACAAATAATGCTTCTTAGGCCTCAACTCTGGCCAGAAGTTCTTAACAATTAAAAAAGTTTTTGAAGGTTTGAAAATGGAACCAAGGAAATTGTACAACTTGCAAAAGCAGTAGAGGGCAAAGTATTTTCAGGCTTGGAAAAAGGAGAAGTCAAACATTTAACCTTTTGAAGCCGGGGCTTTGGTAGCAGTAAAAGCTACCAAAGGACAGGGAATCTTTAACTGAATGCTTTCCCCCCTTTAAAAAATCACCTATTTGCAACAAAGATTCTTGTGTGAAGTTTAATTGATTCTCAGAGGGGTGCATCTATGTTGCAAAAGGAAGACCTTTGAAAGAGATAAGTGGTTAAAACCCCAGGGACGTCAAATTTGACATTTCACCTCACTTTTCAGCCTGGAAAATGGGGGAAAAAGACATGGCCACTAAAGTGGACAACCCCATCTTTTCAGAGAGAGGACTCTATGGCCACTATAATGGCCATCCCGTCTTCAATAGGTTAATCCAGAATAACCCCTTTTACCCTTAGGTTAATCCGTTAAGGTAACCTTGGTGTGTACCCTTTGGTTAACCTAGAGTTTGCTGTAATTGCAAAATTTTTACCACCAAATGTTTCAAAATGTCGCAAAAGGAAGACCTTTGAAAGAGATAAGTGGTTAAAACCCCAGGGACGTCAAATTTGACATTTCACCTCACTTTTCAGCCTGGAAAATGGGGGAAAAGACATGGCCACTAAAGTGGACAACCCCATCTTTTCAGAGAGAGGACTCTATGGCCACTATAATGGCCATCCCGTCTTCAAAATGTTAATCCAGAATAACCCCTTTTACCCTTAGGTTAATCCGTTAAGGTAACCTTGGTGTGTATCCTTTGGTTAACCTAGAGTTTACTGTAATTGCAAAATTTTTACCACCAAATGTTTCAAAACCTGTATATCTTAATGGTAAACTCTGAATGTTTTGATAAACAATGGAGGAGGGGTGTCTTACTTTGCCAAGGCAATGAGTGGGAAACACCAGTAAGAGACTTCTCGTATCTTTCCTTCCTCAGTCTCACAGTTGCAGTTTGCTTGTGGTCTGGCAATATCTGTAGTTTGCTCAATCTCTCAAAAGAAAACTCTGAAATTTGCATTTAATGTAACAACAAAATTGCATTTTAAAATGATGTTAAAATAATAATCACTTAAGACGCTAATACATAGGACATTAAAATTGCAAATATAAATAAATCAAATAAATAGATAATTTGTAACTGTATACCACCTTCTTCCCCCCTCCTCAGAATTATTGCTGCTTAATTACCAATGCAGGCTGACAGTTTTTTCCACAATATTAAAATCTGTCCAGAAAAAGAGGCAAACTTACTTCAGATT